TATATATATATATATATATCGAAATATACTTTTAGTTAATATAATAAAATCCGTTAATATAATGAAATCAGTAAGTCATAATTAATAATGTATTCTTTAGGCTAATACTGCATCATATATATGTCGTATCTCTTTACCGCTACGTTGGAATAATATTAATATAAAAGCGTAAATGTGTTAAAAAGTGTAATAACAATAAGTTACCACAAACATCATTATTATATGCACAAAAAATTATGTTAACATAAGTAATACTCTTAAAAATTACTTATTTAGTTTATTACTAACATCGCAATATACTTTTACTCTAAAAAGTAATATTATTTATTTTGTAATTAAACACATCTTTAAAAAAACATTTAATCGAACAAGTTAAAAACCTGCTTTATATATAATCAATATTTAATATCAGTAAAACTTATAAAATCAACATCACTTTGCTACATTTCTCTCATACTCTCCAATCGCTTTTCACTAATAAATTCCTGGTGAAGGTGTTCTCTTTATTCCAGTTAAAGAGGAGAGAAGTAATTTCAAGAACATAGAATTCATATCCAACCTACATCAATATACCTAATGATAGTTAGACGTATCTTCTTCAGTACATTAATAATATTCATAAGCGTCAATTTATATCAATATGGTAATCATTGAAATATGAAGATTTGTATGTAGCATCCATTATAATATTTAGATAAATACAAAATCTTGAAATGTTAAAACTCATTTCTTACTTTCTCCGTTTTATTAGATCAATTTTTTACCATTATAAAATTTTATAAATATATTAAATCATTATACTTTTCCTACTTTCCTTTTTCTCTCTTTTCTCTATGTTTAAAGCTTAAAATTTTATTTCTACACATTCAATAATATTATTATTAAATGTAGGATGAAATTCTTATTCTGTATAATGTATGTGTAAAAGTTTTCTGGATAAATTATTTCTCATATGAGAACAAGTTTTGTACGTGTAGCGCATTCATTTCTCAGAATCTGAATCCCAAAATATGGAGGTTAAGTTCATATCTGAACCAATCTCTAAAGAGACTAAGTTCAATGTCTCTCGGAAACCATTGACCAAGATGATCGGGTGGGCCAAGCGAGAGGACGCAGTTTGACCGGATAAATTCCATTGACCCACTAATGTAAGGCTCTTGGTAGGTAGGTAGGTAGGTTGAGGCACATGACCGGCTTATACATTCGTTGCCGAAAAGCGATCATAAACACGCGTACACGGAAAGCGACATTCATGTGTGACAGAATTTTACACTAGAAATTTTGTTCCATCACAGAGATTTGTCTTTCTCCTATTGATGAATGCAAAAATGTGCACGCAGGCACGCATACTGTCTTATTTTACCTTACTTCTTTAGAGTTCTCGATACCCATGGAGGAACAAGGGGCTCGTTCAGCATAACCTAGTTATTTCTTAGTCATAATTTATCGAATGTAACTTATGGGCGACAAGGTTATTATATAAATATTTTTCCATTTTATAGAAATAAAGACAGCAATAATATTAATAACATAAAGTTTGTGTGCTTTTAGTTTGCCCACTTATAAATATCACTATATAAAGACTTATTTATAAAATTTCTAATATTAATTATATGTTAACTTTAATTTAATTTTAATTTATTAAAGCACTAAAGTTTTTAATATACAATTAATTATCGCATGATTAATAAAATAAGTGCATTAATTATTAAAATAAAAGAAATCAATTGCAAAATCTATTTCACATTACTATTTCACATTACAGATACTTCACATTACAAACAATTTTTTTAAAAAAGATTTTAATTTTTCTTGAGTGTTATAATATTATGACAAATGGCTTATCTTCATATTTAATATAAAATTTAATTCAAAAATTTTTTTATAATTTTGTAATGATTTCTATATTTGTTTTTCCAATTTCTCTGTTTTTTAATTATTATACTGAATCGTATTTGCCGTTTTTGTATTTATTTGTCATTATCATGAATTCTATCTTACAATTTCTACAGATAAAAGTAGTTTGTGCCGGTCTGTGGCGGATTACTTGAGATATGCCAATCGCTCGTAACTTATCGTATGTTAGAAAGTATTTTGAGTTATAGACATAGCTGGAGAAAATTGTCAATTGTGAATCAGAAGTGTAAACTTCAATGGCGATAGATCCGACGGAAAGTATTTGTCTGCGGTGCATCGAAACTGGTTTGTACGTGTACAAAGTGAACCAAGCAACTAGGACATGCCACATATTGGGTGAGCAAAAAAATGCAGCTTTAACATTTCAAAAAGTTTATTGTATATTATGGTAATTGATAATTACGATCGTAAAAATTTATGATCTTCTAATAATCTATTAAGAAATCTTAGAAAAAGCAACTTTTTATTTTCTCCAATAGCATGAGAAACATTTTCAAGTTATCTTTTATAAGGAATATTCTATTTATCAGTGCAATTCAAAATTTCTTATACTATGTATAATTTTAAATTCAATAAATAATATAATTTTAAATGCGTATTAAAATTATAATAATACATTAAGATATTACAGTTAAGAATAGATAAATGATTATCCGTCAAAGCGTCAATCATTATTTTTTCATACTCATTTTTTGACGAAGAGTGACAACATTTACTCACCCACTTACCTGTCTCCTACTTTTTACCACAAATCAGAGATATGCGAATGCAATATTATCGCACCGTCTCTGACGGAACAAATAGCCTACTGCACATTGCCTCATATTATGCAGGACTGCTATACAATTTCCGTTACGTCAACTGAGACAGGGAAATGGCTTTCGACTTTTGTAATAAATTTCCAGATAAGTAAATAAAAGAAAATATCATATAAAATACGTACACAGAAATAAATATCAAGAACAAATACATGTACTTGTAATATGAATATTTAATACTAACACAAATAATATATTATAATTTGTCTGAATATCGAATTTTCTTTAATATAAAAATAATTAATCTTGCAAATATTTTATTAATATTTTTATAAAGGATTATAAACTTTTATTTTTCTAAGGACAGAAGCAAAAATTATATTATAATAAGATAAATATAGTAACGCGATAAACAGCGCAATTATTTGCTAAATAATTTGTCATTGCTGACTCTCATTAGCCTACTATATTTATCTTTTTGTATTATTTAAAATTTGAAAGTCCTAATATAATTATTGTTATTGTATTATAATATTTTCAAAATAATATAATAATATATAATAGTAAATTGAATAAGTA